GTGGGAAGGTGAACAGCATTTCTGTGCGCTCTGGTCCTCCATGCACCAGTAGCGGTTTAGTCATGCTGGCCACATGACCCAGAAAAATGTCTTTCGACAAATGCCGGCTTCCTCGGCCTGAAGCGAGATGAGCGCCACACCCAATAGTCGCCTTTGCCTGGCCTTAACCGTCCAGGGGCCCTTTACCTTTTATTACTGAATAATGCAGGGCTTTGAGAAGTAGTGGTGCTGAAACTTGGCTTTAATTCCCCTACCAGTTTACTTATAGGAAAAGGAGTGCAGCAGTCACAACACTAAAGAGCTCTAATGTTGACTTAATTTGGCTTAAGGATGTGCAAAAAGACCTCTGTAGGTTTCTGGACCTCATTGAATCAAGTCTTCACAAGATGAAGATTCAATTCTTTTGAAACACTCTTCATTCCTTTGAATACATTGGGCCTGCAGGTAGGGACCAACACTGACACTTTGATTTGCCTGAGTTCCTTGAGATGCTTACCCGCAAAGCATCACACACCAGCCCTCAAAACTACTAATTCTGGTTTGGAAGGTCTGGCTCTGTTTTTGGCAAAATGAATGAATGAATAAATCCTGCTTGCAAACAGGTGCAGGGAGTCATTTCCTAGGCATAAGAAGGTTTAGTAAGGTATAGAGCATAAGAAGAACAAATGGCCAACAGCACAGGATGGCAAAAAATAAATCTAGAAAGAAAGGAAAAGGAAAGAAGCAAGAAAGTTGTGTGTGTTTTAATTGTAAGAGTCTTATTCTTTTCAATATATAGTCAATTAAAAAAACATTCCATTTTGTATGGATTTCCCACAGAAATAGCTCTTGGGCTTGGATGGAGTTGCCATTGGCAGGTGTGTTTTTTTCTGGGAGAGGAAGGGCCTAAGGCAATGGAAAGGTTGGTGTTGTGCAAACAGACCAGAAAGAGTGAAGAAGAAGAAGAAGAAGAAGAAGAAGAAGAAGAAGAGGAGGAGGAGTTTGGATTTGATATCCCACTTTATCACTACCCTAAGGAGTCTCAAAGCGGCTAACATTCTCCTTTGCCTTCCTCCCCCACAACAAACACTCAGTGAGGTGAGTGGGGCTGAGAGACTTCAGAGAAGTCTCTTGACTGGCCCAAGTTCACCCAGCAGCTGGATGTGGAGGAGCGGGGAAGCGAACCTGGTTCACCAGATTACGAGACTACGGCTCTTAACCACTACACCACACTGGCTCTCACAGTGTGAGAGTGGTGGATGGGGTCCGCTGGTCTGTTTGCTTCTTGCCATCTTGCCTCCTCCCTCCTGGTAATCATCATTGACCTATCTGCCAAAGAGCTAGGGTAGCAGCTCTGTCCCACTCAGAAAGTCGCTTCTGATTTCCAGTCCTAACTCTGAGACAGCCTCATTAACCCCTCCATTCTTATGTCATGTTGATCTCATCGCTCTCTTTAAAGCTTGGTTTCCTGAAGGCAAGGAACCCTGTGACAGTCCCCCCTCCCCCCGCCTGATGAAAAAGGTGGTTGATGGCAGAATAAAACGACCATGATATTTGCATGGCAACAGCAGTGGTTGCATGATGGTCTGGTTTTGACTCACCGCCAAGTCCATCTCCTTTTATGTATTATTTCATAGAATCATAGAGTTAGACCTAAGGGATCCTCCAGTCCAACCCTCTACAATGCAGGAATCACAGCTACATAACAACATAGGAACAGCCCTGTTGGATCAGGCCAGTGGCCCACCTAATCTTGCACCCTGTTTTTGCAGTTATCAACCCAATGCTTGTTGGAAACCTGCAAGCAGCACCTGATCAGTAGAGCACTCTCCCGCACTGTGGCTCCAGAAACTATTTATGAGTGGAATTGCTATACAGTTTCCCTGCCTTCCACCACAGAACTCAAGGCAGCGTCTGTGGGGCACATTGGGCTGAATGTTACATCGTTACATGAAGAGGTGCTGATTGGAGATGCCACAAATGAAGGGGGCCACTACTTACCGTACCCTGTTGTGGGCAAGCCCAGATGTTTCATCCGGTTCTTCACCAGCTCTGAAAGCTCCTGCCGCTCTGATCGCCGGTAGAGGCTCAGCCTCTGCTGGTTGATCCACTCAGCTGTTTTGGGTGTGTGTTTGCTTGCTCCTTTTCGACTCAACCGGCGGGCCCACTGCATGCTCTTGCGCCGTAGCAAAGGGTGCTCCGATTGGTCAGTGGGGCACGAGTTCCGGTGATGAGGGGTTTTGGTGTTCCAGTGGTCCTTCACCTCTTTTGTATCCTCACAGTCTTCCACGTTGATTGAGATCTGTGACTGGGAACACCAGTAGGCCATGAGGGAAAGCAAAATATGGCTTTTGGTCCCCTGATGGGCCACTGATGTCATTCCATGGAATCATAAGGAAAAAAAGCTTTCATTTCCCCAAAACTAAAAGCAAACTTTTACTGGGAATAGATCATAGTTCGGTGGCATGACCCATTCATTAATACTGGGGTGAGGAACTTTTGTAGTAGTAGTAGTAGTAGTATTTGTTTCCCCCCTCTTTCATTTCTTTCATTATTTTATTTTAGTTTCCTTTTTTTTTTTAAAGGAAAGCTGTATAAAGTGTGAGGTTGCACAGGCTGAATTTATTGACAGCATTGGCTGACTTGGTACGCACTATTTTGATGTTGTATATATATATATATATATATAAAATCTTTTTTAATGCAGTTATCTTGAGTCTGCAACTTGTCAAATGCAGGTGAAAATGTTCACTAGTTACCCAAGCAAACTAAGGGCATCCTTATTCTACCTTTAGCTGAAAAGTTGTAGAGCTACAATAACTTTTCTCAGCATAAAGACAAATAAATATTTTTTGACAGAAGCCATACTCACCTGTGTCCTGATGTCATGAGGCTGGGGTTGCAGGGAGAAAGAAAGACATAATACTTGAAAAACATAATTTGAAAAATGTATCATTGTTTTGGCCCGACATTCCTTTGCTGTAACACAACACTGAGAAGATTCTTGTTTAAGTGATGTTTACTTTACCTCTCTTGCTCCCTTCTCAACCTAAACTGTGTAACAAAAATGGTCACCTACTTATCAACTGTGGGCTCTGTCTGATTCAGTGGGGATGGGCAAATCTGTCCATTTCAGTTCCTATTAGTTACTGAAATTGACAGATTCAAGTCTTAGGTTCCAGTCTTAAGTTTAGTTCTCCACATTTCTGAATCAGTTTGTGATTTATTTTTATTTTTTTAAAGGAAAAGTCCTCATAAAAATTCATCTGCATTTGAGTGCAAATTTCTCCCAATGCACACATTTTTGTATGTAATTTTGCTTGAAGTAATATAATGCATTATATTATATATTAGTTTCACTAACACATGCATTTTATCACACACATTCCCCATAACATACACATTTTTGTACATGTTAGTTGGCTGGAGAACCGCAACACAAGACTCTGAGAAGTGGAAATTGCATAGAATAGCTTTTTTAGTTTTCATATTGCTTTGGAATGTGAGGAATAGGTAGGTTCACATTAAAATCCTAACCAAACCAGTTTTCTTTTCTATTCCCTAATAGTCAATGGTGTTATTAGTTGGGATTAGGTTTATTATATCTGTATGTCGCTTCCCACTAAAGGTCCTGAAATGATTTAAAGGTAAAGGTAAAGGGACCCCTGACCATTAGGTCTAGTCGTGGATGACTCTGGGGTTGTGGCGGTCATCTCGCTTTATTGGCCGGGGGAGCCGGCATACAGCTTCCGGGTCATGTGGCCAGCATGACTAAGCCGCTTCTGGTGAACCAGAGCAGTGCACAGAAATGCCGTTTACCTTCCCGCCGGAGCGGTACCTATTGATCTACTTGCACTTTGACATGCTTTCAAACTGCTAGGTGGGCAGGAGCAGGGACCGAGCAATGGGAGCTCACCCCGTCACAGGGATTCGAACCACCGACCTTCCGATCAGCAAGTCCTAGGCTCTGTGGTTTAACCCACAGCGCCATCTGCGTCCCTCCTGAAATGATTTACAAGCAAGTAAAAATCCCAACAAGAAAGCTACATAAATTAGAATAGAATAGAATAGAATAGAATAGAATAGAATAGAATACTTATTGGTGGTGCCCACATGCATGGGAGGGAGAGAATCTATCTGCCTGGCAGCAAAACAATGAACAAGGTTGGTACTAGATGGGCCTCCCTAAGGACAGTAATCCATAAATTGGGGGGGCTTTTACAGAGAAGGCCTGTTCTCTCATCGGTACACTCTGGACATCCTTTGAAGGTGGTATGCCTATTGATGGGATGGGGGTCTTCTAGACCTGGGATGGGGCACCTGTGGCTGTCAAGAAGTTTGTGAACATTCTGGGCCACTGAATGTGTCAGTGGCAGAACCTTCACACAAGGCAGAAGGGGGTCAAATGCTCTTGGCAAAGAAGGAACAGGAGGGCATGGGAGAGTGTGGCTAGCAGAGAACCAAGAAGAAAAGATAGAGGTATGGGTGGCTGAAGACAGGTCTGGATTTGATACACTCATTTCTGAATTAATTGCCGGTCCCCCCCGGTTGGGAGAAGCAGCAGTAGAGAGAAAGGAAATCTGGATTTGGGTGGGTGGATATTGGGGATTAGGGATTCTGAGGAGAGGCCAAACAGGTTGATTCTCAACTTCTTACATCCATGGTGGAAAACATGTGGGACTCAGTCCTATAGATGCCAATGGGGATCTCAGCGCTGGAGGAACATAGCTTCTGGAAGAGACGCCCGTATGTCCGGATCCACAGGTCATCCTCAGTGATTTTCATCTATCCAATAAAGGAAGGAAAGAGAGAAGGAATGAAAAGTCATTGATGCTCTTTTACAATGGGAGACAAAAACATATTCCTTTGCATTGACAAGCTCCCATCCACCTCCATGCATTGGAATATGGGTTGGTGCATTATGCTGATGTCAGACCATTGGTCCATCTTACTCAGTATTGTCCACACTGACTGGCAGTGGCTTCCCAAAGTTTCAGACAAGAGTCTCCCCCAGTCCTACCTGGAGATGCTGGGGAATGAACCTGGGAGCTTCTGCATGCAAGGCAGATGGCTCTACCACTGAGCCACGACCTTCCCCTACTTCAGATCACTGAGAACAAACAGAATAGGGAGGCCTATCACCTTTAGGCATCAAGCTATTTCTCACTGGTAGGTAAAGGTTGGCAGAAGCTGGGACAGAGCAACAGGATCTCATCCTGTTGCCTGGATTCGAACCGCCAACCTTCTGATCAGCAAGCCCAAGAGGCTCAGTGGTTTAGACCACATCGCCACCCGCGTTCTCCCAATGAGAAGGACCTTCACTAGCGAGACTAGCGAGAAAATGCTGGGGCTGAACCCTGAAGAATGGCAAATTCTAGCAACTCATGCTTATAACATTTTTACAGAGCAAGAGACATCAAAGGTTATCCAGTTTGACCTCTCTACCGATGCAGGAAAACTGATGCTACAGCACTAATATGCCTAATACTGGTCCCCACCACTCCCAGAGAACTCCACCCAGCACTGTCAGCTCCATCTTCTGTGTGAAAAACCTTTAGATGTGTGAAGACAGCCATAAAGTCTCCTCTTAACTTTCTTTTCTCCGGGCTAAACATACAGTGGTGCCTCGCAAGACGAAAAGAATCCGTTCTGGGAGTCTCTTCGTCTAGCGGTTTTTTCGTCTTGCGAAGCAAGCCCATTGACGGATTAGCGGATTAGCGCTATTAGCGGCTTTTAGCGGCTTTTAGCAGCTTATCAGCTTATCGGATAAGCAGATAAGCGGCTTAGCGACTTAGAAAAAGAGGGGGAAAAGGGGGAAAAAAACCCAGGAACTCGCAAGACATTTTCGTCTTGCGAAGCAAGCCTATAGCAGATTCGTTTTGCGAGGCACCTCCAAAACGGAAAACTCTTTCGTCTAGCGAGTTTTCCGTCTTGCGAGGCATTCGTCTTGCGGGGCACCACTGTACCTGGATATTTTGACCATCCCTTGTAGGATTTGGTTTCCAAACCCCATCACCATCCTGGGTACCTTCCCTGGATAATTTGAAAGGTAGATCTTCTTCACTCAGACTGGGCTAGGCAGGGAACCTACAAAGCACTATATTTGCCACTTTGGTACCACGGAAAAGAATGCAGAAACTCAACACTTACAGCACAGAGGTAGCCGGACCCTGGAGTGGTGTCTAGACCGAGAAGCAGCCTTGTGATGGTGATCATATAGTCTTTCACGAATGACTGCAAGGGAAGAACCCATCAACAATTGGGCAGCGGCCTCTACCAGGGCAATAGCATCTAATGGATTTGGTCCCTCAATTTGATTGAACAACTGAGCTTGTGAAAACTCCAATTAAGCTAACAACAGGTAAACCTCATTCCCACAGGAGGCAGTGATGATCACTGATGTGGATGACTTTTAAAAGAGTATTAGACAAATTCATGGAGAACAGGGCTATCAATGGCTACTAGCCACGATGGCTCTGCTCTGCTTCCATGGGTATTGAATGTAACAACATAAGAACATAAGAAGAGCCCTGCTGGATCTGGCCAAAGCTCACCTAGTCCAGCATTCTGTTCTTATAGTGGCCAACCAGATGCCTATGGGAAGACCCCAAGCAAGATGCAAGCATAAGAGCTCCCTCCTCCAGTGGTTTCCAGCAACTGCTATTCAGAGGTATGACTGCCTCTCAGAGTTGGGTGCCTTTGCTGCTTATTTCTAAGAACCCAATCTGGTGAGAGATTGGAAAAACAGGAGAGGAAAAAAACTTGATGCGGACAATGTTATTGAGATTTGCAGAAGCCAGAAAAAGTACATCACAAGGAACTGAAGAAATATAAATTCAGAACATTTGGGGGTGGGAAGAAGATGAAAAGAAAAGTTATATTGGACTTCCTGAGTGACTGAAGTGGAACACGGGAGACCCATGAAAGAAACTAGGGAACGCAGCATTAGCAGTTTGGGAGAAAAGCTGATTATCATCAACTACAGTGTCAAATTATTCTGGAATGTATATGCTACATTCCAGTTATGGCGGGTGGGGGTGGGGACACGGCTATTGGGTTGTTCTTGTTTTTACTTTGGTTATGTATTCAGTATGTATTCAGTGCTTTTATATTGTGATTTTATCCTGTGAACCACCCTGCGGGTATAGGGCAGTATACAATTAATAATAATAATAATAATAATAATAATAATAATAATTTGAATAATTGTAATACATACAATTTGCAGATAGAGACATGGAAGTATACCTCTGTTTTTCCCTTCTATGTTTTTCCTCCTCCTTTTATCTTTTTATCTTAGTTCTGTTTGTTCTCTTTTTCTCTTTCTCTTGTTTTCTCTTTGTATTCTTTATTATTTTGTACAGTATTGGAGACATTTATAAAAGGCTTTTTTGGGTGTGGGTACAGGGCAGCGGGCGGAGAAGTCCTTTGCCTTGGACTGAGGAGGACACAAGCAGGAAGGGGACAGTCGTAGGAGGGGGGGTCCCTGCACGAAAGGCAGGGTGGAAAGGGTCTCCCAGGGTGAGAGAAATAGGCTCCCCAGTGGGAGATGGGAGGGTCAACCTCTCTGTATGTGGATAAATGACAGGATATACAGTGGCACCTCGGGTTACATATGCTTCAGGTTACATGCGCTTCAGGTTACACACTCCACTAACCCAGAAATAGTGCTTCAAGTTAAGAACTTTGCTTCAGGATAAGAACAGAAATCGGGCTCCGGCGGTGCAGCGGCAGCAGGAGGCCCCATTAGCTCAAGTGGTGCTTCAGGTTAAAAACAGTTTCAGGTTAAGAACGGACCTCCAGAACGAATTAAGTACTTAACCTGAAGTACCACTGTATATGATATAAATATGGCAAAGGGCCTTTAGGCATTTCCTCCCTCTCTGTCTCTTTTTTCTTGCATTTTTTGGTTTTTTAATATTCTTGTTCTGTAGACTTCTTATTGATTCCTATTATCAATTTTTTAAATTTTTTTTTATTATTTATTTTTAAGAAGTATTATTGCCTCTAACACCAGTTGCCGGAAACCAGAGGAGGGGAGAGTCTTACTCTTCTGCTTGAGCCCTGCTTTTGGAGTTCCCATATGCATCTAGTCAGCCACTGTGAGACTATGATGTTGGACTGGATAGGCCATTGGCTGGATGTAGCAGGATTGTCTTACGTTCTTAATATACATTTTCTTTTTTAAAAAATATTTTAATACATGTTCTTCTGAAACTGAAATCACCACATCACCCAAGATGCATTCTGTCCTGTGTGGAAGAGAACAAGGCGATGGAGAAAACGTATCATCTAAATGCAAAGCATTTGTGCCCCCCCGTCCAACATGGACCCCCTTGAGAACAGTTTCCCCCCTCCTCATACATAGTGTCTACCAATCAATCCATGTACAAAAACTCATACATTAACTAACATTTCTTTAAACTGTGTGACAGCCCTGAGCGACAGCCTTCTGCCATCTGGTGGATTGAAACCTTCCACCAGTCTCAGCCAGTATGACCAACATTAAAAAATTCCTTCCAGTAGCACCTTAGAGACCAACTAAGTTTGTTATTGGTATGAGCTTTTGTGTGCATGCACACAATTCTTCAGATACACTGAAACAGAAGTCACCAGACCCTTATATATAGTGAGAGGGTGGAGAGGGGTATTACTCAGAAGGGTGGTGGGAATGGGTGATTGGCTGATAGGTGTGGTAAACCTGCTGACGACTGTTAATGACTGCAATTGATCTTACAGGAAAAAGCAAGGGGTGAGATGGCTAAAAATAGCTATATCGTGTATAATGAGATAAGAATCCAATGTCTCTATTCAGACCAGGTCTCTGAATAAGTTTGGTAATAAGTTGCAATTCTCTTTCCAGTCTATTTCTGAAATTCCTTTGTAATAAGACAGCTACTTTGAGTATTACCAACAGTTAGGGATGATAAGAGTTGCAGTCTGATAACAATTCTACACAGAGCAGACCCATTAGAAGGTTGGGCTGAGACCTGGGAGACTGGGGTTCTAGTCCCAACTCAGCAAATTTCCATTTCCATTTCCATTTAGAGAGGTCCAGACAACTCCTTTCTTGAATTGGGCTCCTTCCCTTCCTGGAGATTCAGTATGACACGGTTTGCAAAAAAACCCCCAATGCTACAGGTGATCAAATGTTACAGCTAGAAGGCCCGTCTTTTGGAATGAATGGTGGCTCCCTTCTTCCCTTCATTGTTACCTGGTAAAGCAGCGTATCCAACATGCTGATGCTGAAAACTCTGCCGGCAGCAAACGGAAGGCGGAACATGAAAGCCAAGTTGGAACCGTTCTCCCGCTCTTTCTGTGGGGAAAGCAAGAATGCAGAGGTGAAAATAATAGTATGGCAGCCTTCCTGGATTAGACCAAAGGCAATCTAGCCCAATATCCTGCCTCTAATGGTGGTCACCCCAAAGTTTGCAATAAACAATATTTATTTTTATTTTTTAAAATAGCAAAGTTTGAAGGTAGAGACCAAGACAGCCCATGGAATACTTAGAAAGTTCATGGCTAGCTATCGCCGTGATCAGGTGCGCTTCACAGTGTAGCACTTTGTTGCAGGTCCCAATTTCTGTTCGACTTTCCAAGGGTTGAATTCAACACTACTCCTACTCAGAGTAGACTTATTGAAATCAATGGGCAAGACTTATTTAGGCTCTTAATTCAATGGATCTATTCTGTGTAGGACTAGAACTGGCTACAACCTCAGCGCTCATGGCCTTTTTTATATACTATATTAAGAGATAGCATGGCAATGGGCACACACACATCCACAGAACACTGCTGGATTGCCCTGTGAAAAGAAAGGGCACAGTGAGAATTGTGCTTCATCTTGAGCCTTGCAGCCCTAAAATGTCAGCATGGAATCTCATAACAAGGGAGCAGCTGGGATATGACCTGCTTGGTGGGTAGCAATGAAAGTAATGGTGACCACAATGGCATTTTCTTCAACAATCAGGGAGAGGTGAGAGGGCAACAAATCAGCATTCTTTTTAAAATATATATATATTATTTTTCTCTCCAAAGTGCCTCATACCACCACAAATTAGGAATCTAATAACCAAATATACATATTTTTGTTTGTTTGTTACCTTTTCTAGTTTGGAAAGGGCCAATGAGTAGCTATCCTTTGCTCGGAACTGCATGAACCTCATGTTGGATGGATGTGTCAGCTCTGTAATGATGCTCAGGCTTGGGAAAAGCCTAGAATGAAAGCAAGGGGTGCGGGAGAGTAAGCAAATACATTTCTGTTAGGCATTTCAACAAATGTAAGAATAGCCCTGATGGGTCACAGCGTGAGATTCATAATTTAGCATCATGTTCCCCAAAACTGGCCAGCTGGTTGCTTCTGGGAAGCCCACAAACAGGGCACAAAGACAACAGCCCATCAGTAGGGATGAACCAATAAAAACCTAGAACAGCCCAAGAGTGGCCACAGAGTACTATCTAGCCATTGTTATGGAAAACGCTGTTGAGATGGAAAAGGAGGAAGGGGCATAGAATAGAGTGAATACCCAGCTACCCCATTTCCTCTTTGTTGCATATAGAGATAGACAGAGATAGAGATGAATTCCTGGATGCCAAGATCCAACTTTGGGGCAAGTAGTCTTTGGTAAGAGAACCCAGCAGAGATTTAAGGTCACAAAATATGCAGCAAAGTAAAGTGTGGAAGTACAAGCTGTTAGACCATTAAAATATGTTCTTCCAAGTAAATTCCAAGATTTCCTTCTCCTCCCAGCATACCAAGAGACCGCATGTTTGGTAAGTTTAAAAATGGATTACTTACAAACTCTCCAAAGGTCAAATTTATGTGCTTTCGCATACATCAGTCAGGAAAGCTGCACAGTAAGCAATACTTAGTTACAAAGTGGTAAATGTTTCTAGATTATTAGTATAAGAACTCAAGAGTGGCTCGTAAGAGCCATGTGGTTGAGCTGGAGCTGGAATTTCTCATGTAGACTGGGGGTGAACAAAGGTTCGATTTCCTATTTCCCCCAAGGTAAAGGAAAGTGACCTCACTAAGCTTATTCTATGGTCTTAACCCCTTCATGTATTAATTGCACTTAAGCATGTTCGTTATATGATGCTGGTTATCCCACAACTTTAATTGCTACTCAGTTGGGAATTGCCAAGGAGGACGAAAGAGTCTTGCCTCCCCCACCCTCAATCAAGTCCAGCTGAGAAACAGCCTTCCCATGGCTTTAAGAGCAGCAGATGCAGCTGGAAAGGGAGAAGAGGAATATGGGGGGGAGGGAATTATTTTATGTTATGTGACCTTATTGCTCAATTTGATCTGTTTATATGGTTTTTATGCATTGTAATTTTGCTGTTGTTTGTAATTTAGTAATGATAATGCTTAAGTGAATTTCTATTTAATTATTGTTGATATTATTGTGTAACTTTATGCCGTCATAATTACACCACATTGCTTTATGCCAACTTCATGTGCATAGGATTGCTCCCGGTGGTGGGAATAGCTCAGGCTGCATGTCTGAGGACCCATTAAAATATGCTGTAACCTCTGAGCCTTTTCACATTTAACTCTTGCCCTAGTTCTGTCACTGGATAGCTCAGCTGGTTAGAGTGTGGTGCTGATATTGCCAAGGTTGCAGGTTCGATCCCCATATAGGACAGCTGCATATTCCTGCCATTGCAGGGGGTTGGACTAGATGATCCTCAGGGTCCCTCCCAACTCTATAGTTCTATGATATTTTGTGTGTGCTATTATATTACTTTATTTTGTATAAGCTGCTTATTCTAAGTCATATTTTTATTACGATTTTTTTCATAGAATCATAGAGTTGGAAGAGACCACAAGGGCCATCGAGTCCAACCCCCTGCCAAGCAGGATCAGATTGTTTTGCATTGGATCAGATTGTTATGAGTAATCTTTGCTGTATATTTTGTTGCTTCTTCAGCTTGTAAACTGCCTTGTATATCAATATATAGATATATAGAAAGGTGGTATACAAATTTAAAGTGAAACGAAATGAAATGAAAATATGAGAACCCCATATTGCAATGTCTTGTGTGTGTGTGTGTGTTTGTGGGCAAAACTGTCAATTTTGATTCTTTCTGTTTCTCATTTTTCCTGTCTTAAAATTCGGTTGTCCACATTTCTGCTGCAATTTGCGTTAAAAAAATATCTGGCCAAAGTTTATTCAGCATTTACATGTGAATTTATCCTACTTAACGCATTTCTGTATGCAGGTTTGACTAACAAAGGGCATATTTTCAAGGAATTTCCTTTGATATAAAGCGTTTTGCTATGTTACCTTCACTAATATAGGCGTTCTTGTGCACATTTCCTTGGCTGGTGAGCAGCTGATAGCATTATCACTGAGTTTGTCCAGTGTTCTTTTAAAACCATCCAACCTGGAACCAGCTCTCCATTATGGGATGCAAGAAAAATAGTGGGAGTGGGGAACTGAGGGGGGAATACAGCCTGCCAGGCCTCTCTATCTGGCCCTTAGAACTGCCCCCAGGCCACACCTGCCATTGGCCATGCTTGGCACTCCAAGTGTGCTTTGCTTGGCTGGAATGTGTCCTTGGACTTTGATCATGCTGCTTGCTTGACTGGATGGAGGACTGAGAGGTGCGTGTAGCAACCAGCCTGCTGTACCAAAAGTAAAATTGGCATTCATTCCTCCACCCCTCTTCTCTCTGGCCCTGCCTGCCACCGCCATGCGGCCCCCAGAAGATATCCAGAAGGAAATGCAGCCCTCAGGCCAAAAAGGGTTCCTCAACCTGGAGAAAGAGGGAAGGATTATCATGGCCAGAGATGCTGAAACTTCAAAGCACTTTGTCTCACCTGAACATGGTTTGGACGTTGACGATGGTCTTGGCATCTGCCATGTAATCCTCTTCGGCGCTCATTGTGCTCTCCTTGTCCACTACCACCAAATTGTCAGCATAAATGATCCCACACTGCAGCAAGCTGTCGAGGCTAAAAGGCATCCCCCCAAACAAGTGACAATTAGGAGGCTGTTGGAAGGCGGGAGGGGGAAGCCAGCTTTGATGCTCGAAATGTCTCAGAAAATTATGCTCTTGGCAATTTGCTGACAATTTTTTGTTATTGTTTTGAGATCACCCCATCCCAAATTGTTGCATTGGGCCAGCATGGGGAACACTGCCTCAGGATAGAAAATTTAGGAATCAACTTAAGGAATGTACAAAGGCAGAACTGTTTTGTATGTTTATGGATCTGAGTATGAATTATCAGGGTTGGTGTTTTTTTTAGCCCAACAAAATAAAACACCTCCAAGTTTCTGTCCCTCATGGTGGTGCTTTGGGGTTGTGCCTTGGGGCACTGAACCAAAAGAGACAGAGACAGGTGCAGGGAAGGAGAGAGAGAGAGAGAGAGAGAGAAAGGGGAAAGCTTACTTATCAATTGTGCCTTCCATATAATAGACCATTGGAAAACAGCAGATGGCTTCCAGGAAATGATGGTCAGGCCTGAAAAAGAGACACTCAGTTTCTCTTTTTTCCAATCTTAAGTCCAGTTTTCCACATCAGTCCGTGAATTCTTATTATGAAGAAGCGCCCATGAAAATTCTTCAGCCTTTTAGTGTGAATTTCTCCTAATGGACACATGCCTGCATGCAATTTCCCCTAAAATATACACATTTTGGCAAAGCAGCTTCCCATAATAAAATGCATGTTGGTATTCTATTTTCACGAATATGTGCACATTTATGCACACTTTGCCACAGCATATGCATTTTTGTGCGCATCACTTGGCTGGAGAACTGCACTGCAAAATCCAGAGAAATGCGGATTTTTGAAGGATGGCTGCAGTTTGATTCTTGCAATGTTTCAAAAAGTGTGAATTGGATAGGTCCACTTTGAAAGGCAAACTGAACTGAATTCCTTCCCGGCCCCCAACCACCAGCCCTGCTTTCTGGTGCTGTGCTGTCCAAATCTTTCACCCTTCTTGCCACACTGACCACGATGACACCCCACCTTCAGTCTCTGCATAGGTCTCCTCTCCTTCCCTGGATCCTGTGCCAGCTCCTCATCCTTACTTTTGAAGTTGTACTTCTCCACTCTCACAATACACCTCCGCCTGTGACCTTTGCTGGTCACAGGCGCTGTAGCTCAGTGTTAGAGAGTTGGCATTTGGAAGGTCCCTGGTTCAAGTCCTGTCTTGTCCCCAAAGTGGGCTGGGAAAGATGCCCACCTGAAACTGTTGCTGCCAGTCAGTGTTTGCGCAATCATTTCTTAAGCTGCTCTAATACGTCAAGGACCACCTCTCCCCACATGAACAGACCCAGATCCTGGTATTGCCATCTGAGGCATTTCTCTGTGTGCTGCCACCATGGAGAGGACTGGAGGGTGGCAACACAGAACAGGCCTTCCCAGCGGTAGCTCCCCAACTTGTGGAATGCTCTCCACAGGGAAGCTCGCTTGGTGCCATCTTCATTTTCAGATATGAGACATTCCTTTTTACCTGGGTGTTTGGCCCTTAATTTGAAGGTTTTCAATTACTTGTGGCCTCTTTTAGAAGGCAGGATCCATAAGACTGACCTTTATTTGTTTAGGTGTTGTGTATGTGTGTGTGTGTCAGGTTCTATTTGTTGCTTTCATTGTAATTCGTCTTTGTAAATTGTAGTAGTGTTTGTGCACTGTGCTTGTAAGTCACTTTTGTGAGTAAAGCAACTGTTATGTACTGAAGTTCTCACCCTGGGCCAGCAGGGGGATACTGTAGATAGTTTTCACTCAGGTCCACATATGCAAATAAGGGATCGAAAGTGACGTTCAGTGATTGAATAGTTACAGAAAGTTGTTACAGTTACGTTGTACTGGAGCTCTATATAAGCAGGCTGGCTGAACCCTTCAGTTCAGTTCAGTTCTGGCCTATGAATAAACAAGAGCTGTTTGAAGAATCGCTGTGTCGTCTGATATGTTCACCCACAACTTAACAGCAACAGTATCATCACGTACAACACCAGCAGAAGCAGTCTGAGTAGGAAGAATTTCAGAGCAGAGCATACCACCATCTTTCTTAATCACTCTCTGAGCATCAGATTTAGGTAGAGCCTTTCCCCTAAAAGCCTACTTTTCTATTTACAGGGAGTGTGTAGGGTGTATGTGTGGGCTCTGATGTAGCCCCAGTATATTTGTATGTTTGTGTGTATATATGAGCTGGAGCGGGGAAGTACTTACTTGTTGTCAAGCAACAGTACGATGGGGTTTAGCTCTTTCCGTGACCGGTAGTAGGCGCGGAGAGGAACAATGAAGTTGTACAAGCCGTTCCCAGCCGTCTCTGCTGACACAATGATCAACTTGTTCTTAAAGCCGTAGGCTTTGGCGTCTTCATAACTGTTGTGCCTGCAGCCCTGGAAAGATGCCGGGAAATGTTTTATTTTACACTTCCTGGCTGGTGCTCAATAAAGGGCCAATGTCACCTATTTTCCCCATAAGAAAATAAGACCCAATTAGCCTAGCATCTAGTCTCACAGTAGACAACCAGATGCCCCAGTGGGAAACTTGCAGGTAGGACCCACTCACAAGAGGTTGTGGTCCTTCTGTGGTTTCCAGGAACTGGGATTAAGAAGCCCTGCTGCCTCTGAGAAGGGAGGGAGGGAGAATGTAGCCACCAAGGTTAAAAATCCTTCACAACAAGGTAATAAAAGCAGCCACAGCAAGCAGGGCAGTTGGTAAACTAGACCACTTTCCCAATAAAATTATCCTCCCTCCCACAGTAACCATTTCCAACTCTCCTGGATATGAAGGAGTCACAAAGGAACAGCCAACTGAGAGGATGAAATGAACAGGAAGATGGATGAAGTAGGAAGAAGAGAAGAGCCCCCACATGAACAAGATGGGGGCAGGGAAGCTGCTTAGATGCAAGAGCTGGGGGGTGGGGTGGGGAAGGACAGAAACAAAATCTCCAGCTGCTTCACTTTTATCAGCTGCCAATGTACCAGATGTTTCCACTTTATAGAGAAACCCTGCTGGCCATTCAAACAGTTCCTCCGGCATCAGAGACGTTTGTGTGGCTTTTAAGAAAGCCCAGCCCAGGTAGCAGCTTGTGTACATGTCTGCATCTCCAAAGCTCCCATTCCTACAAACCCCTGGATGTTTTGTTTAGCCTGGAGTAGCTAACCTCTTGCTCTCTAGATGCTGCTGAACTACAGCTCCCATCAGCCCTTGGCAGAATGGGCAAAAGTCACAGACGATGGGAGTTGTTAGTTCAGCAATATGCAGAGGGCCAGAGGTGAGGCCACCCTGATCTAGACCTTCTCATGCTGCTGATCACTGAGCAGGCACTGCCTGCATGCCTTGGCCACAGTAGGGACTAGAAACCTTAAGATAAAATAAAATTGGTGATTTTCAGGAAATATTTTCAGTTGCTGGTGTTTCTAAATTAACCTTAAAAGGTAAAGGGTAAAGGGACCCCTGACCATTAGGTCCAGTTGTGACCGACTCTGAGGTTGCTGCGCTCATCTCGCTTTACTGGCCGAGGGAGCCGGCGTACAGCTTCCGGGTCATGTGGCCAGCATGACTAAGCCGCTTCTGGCGAACCAGAGCAGCGCATGGAAACGCTGTTTACCTTCCCGCCAGAGCGGTACCTATTTATCTACTTGCACTTTGACATGCTTTCGAACTGCTAGGTTGGCAGGAGCAGGGACCGAACAATGGGAGCTCACCCCGTTGCAGGGATTCGAACCGCTGGCCTTCTGATCGGCAAGTCCTAGGCTCTGTGGTTTAACTCACAGTGCCTCCTGTGTCCCCTGTGCCACCCGTGTCCCCTATTAACCTTGGTGCCCCACAAAAGGGTAGAAAAAGAAAGAACCTGTTCAGAAATGCATGCCTTCTAATATGAAGTGGCCCCAAACTGGGA